CATGTCATGATATCTCGTCTTCCTCATCTCCTCATCCGTAGCGTAGCGGCAGGATCAACAAAGCCCTCTCCCTAAATTTGGCGGTAATCACTGCTACTGTCTTAGTAGTTTGCCGAAGGTCCTGGAACTCTCTCGCTAGTTGTTGTACCTCAATCGTTGGGCAAACTCCCTCTGGAACCTCTGGAAAAAATCCTCTTAGGTCATGACTGCCACTGTCGCTGACCTTACTACTTATCTAACCACCTCCCACCAGTCTCATGCTCGTCCACTCAGCAGGCAGGATGCAAATCCCACATTTTCCCCCTCATGAAAAAACTCGTCTACTGAGCATTTTCCATGTCAGCAATCCAACTTTGACTAGCAAAGGGGTCCTTAGCCCTAAAGAACTCAGGAGCTCCATAGGCCTTGAACTCCCAGAATGAGGGAACTCGAGCACCTATCTGAACCACAACAATCATAGCTCGAAAGGTCCTGAGCGTCTCATCCATCAACTCCATAATCCCATCCTTGATGGTACTGAAAAACACAAGGGTAGCATCCAAGATACCGCAAGTACCTCAACCGAAATGAACTCGCGCAGACGCTCATCACTTGGTTATGTGCTGGAGCTTGAACTTGAACCAGAACCAAATCCAAAACCTCCTCGAGTAATAATCACCATCCTCCAAAATGAAACACAACATATAAACAATCAACAAAGGACTCAATGGGATCCTCTACATAGGCCTCCTTAGAGTTTCCAGGTCTGCTCTTGTCTTAGGTACATGTCATGTGCTTCTAGTAGTACGAGCCCAATACTACCTTTCACACTTACATGTACCTTCCTCAAGGTCAGTAATGATTCCTCTAACCTGCCACACTAAAACCATATACCAATCCCATGCTATACAACATACACATCCTCGACTCTCCTTGGAATTCTCAACTCCCACCCCTCGCAGTTCCAAGAACATCAATCAACATTGTGGTTGCCTTATGCATGCAAGTTCTACACAAAATATGATCACATAGACTGCCAAATGATGATTCTACCCTAATTCTACAACCAAATAAGGAATAGGAAATGAGGCCAAATTGATCATTCTAAGTCTATAAAATCCTAATCGTGTCCAACTTTTATAGCATACACTTAGCAATTAACTAAGCTATATCAATTCCAGGTAATGCATAGCATTAAGTTCCACTAGGCTATAAGGCAACACACAAGTTAGATAATTCTATCATATAATTGTTGAAGTATCCTTAGCCCTAATCTAGCATGCAATTCTCATATCAAGCATACTAGTCATAATGCATAGGTATGGGGAGTTTGGGAACCACTTACTTGAGCTTGGTTGATTGCACGTATCACACTCCTTCTTTTTAAAAGTTTAACTTCAGTTTTTTTAAGAAAAATTATCAAATCATTCATTAATTGTTCAAAACCAACATCAAGTCATAATATTCAAAACATCAGAGTATAATTATTTCAAATGCGGAAATCACTCGGGGAGGATGTTGTGTCATCATGTCGGGCCCTTCCCTTTTGAATCGGAAGTACCTAAAACCATAAACATAAATAGCAAGAACAAAACTTACTGAATTCCTCAAAATACCACATACCCAAAACACATAAGTGACATGGGCTACCACCATGGTCTTTCCTTGCAATGTTGAGGATCAAATCCTAGTCTTACATACAAGTTTTATGGGCTACCTCCATGGTCTTTCCTTGCAATGATGATGTCCAAATCCCGATCTTACATACAACGGCCAGAGGCCAGATCCTGGTCTTTCATACAATCTTCAGATGCCAAATTTTGGTCTTCATGCAAGCATCATAAAGACAACTAACATTCCACATAACAAGTAATAGGTTGGCGTGTGTGCCTTCAACCCATGGATATAATGAGAAGACTCACATCACAGACAAACTGAATGGTATGCCACTCCGATATCAACTCTACCAATCACCTTAATAAATTCAATGACACGATCTTAGCATATAGATCAAAATACCTAAAACACCCCTAGGTTAAACCCTAGTAAAATCTAGGTTAAACTCAACTGAGTCAACCGAGTTGACTCAGTGAGTATGCGAGGCGTGCTACATGGTTGACCAAAAATCGGGGACACAACCACGTACGCACAGCGTACCCCTTGGTACACCCAACGTACGCGACTGCTCACCACCTTACCCATTAAGTATTTAATACTTAAAAATTTACGTCTAAAATCCAGATCTATACTCAAAAGGATACCCTCAACCATAAAGTTTCCAACTTTATGGTTTAGCATGGCTATTAAGACCTTAGCTACAAAAACCCTACCCATTAAGACAATCTAACTCATGCATCGAGAGAAACTAATGACCAAAAGCACATTTTTATGACTTAGCACACCCTAAAACCTCTGGAAGGACAACTCAAACATCATGGAGTATCTCCTACACACAAAGACCAATTTTACGACAAAAAGGTAACAACTTTGAGCTAAAACTAAACCCATAAGAAACATACACCAAAATTGAAGCTTTTTACCTCTATAAGATGCACAAGGAAGAGAAAATGTTGGATCCGAACTCTTGAGAGCAAAATCGCTTCCTTGATGATCTTCCTTCACAACCAAGAAATCCCACAAATCACTCAAAATGCTCAAAATAGATTAGGGTTTGCAAGGAGGGTCAAATTTGGGATGAGGGCTAATAAGGGGAAGAGTTTGGGGACTATAATGGTTCTTATATAGTGCACAAACCCTAAATATTAGTGCTAAGTCCAACTTACATACGCCCAACATACGTGCATGGGGCCAATTATTCCCAATGTACCAATGTGTACGCGCAACATACTCATGTTGCACCCATTATTACGATAATGCCATTGAGGACCAATCTTGCAACAAATCTTAACTCAATGGTCAAAAGTGAATACCTGAAAATTAGATGTCATAAATTTAGTATTTGGTGAAACCATGAAAGTACCTTATAAATTAGAAGCTAGCTTTTCAGCTAACTCGTCAAACAAAACATTAGTAGGTTAAGCCAAAAAAATGTTTGGCTTAGTTATTAACACAATAACTCTTTACATATTTCTCGTTTCTTTTTCCTCCAACTCCTCGTGTTAAAATTTATTAATATTTTGATATTGATGAATGTTGTAGAATTTGTTTTAAGGAGATGAATGTATAGTAAATGATGTTTTAGTATCATTAGGTGGTTTATTCGGTCCATATATAGACGACATTTTATCCATAAAGATATCGGTAGTTACTCATTCGTTCAATTTAACCACTGATGACTATATGGGAAATGGAAGCACCCCCTCATTTTCTCTTGTGTGCCAATAAACATCCTCCACATTTTCACAACTTTACAAAAAGAAATGCACCATTAACTAACATGTGGATACTACCAGGCATCCCATCTTAACAAATCCATGAATAATCATTAACTAATCGAACCATATACTTTCTATCATGTTCATCAAATTTGATGTAACAAACCTTTTTAAAAAATCTTTATATAAAGTTGTGACTTGCAATTTGATGGGTTTTGGTCATAAGACATCCTATGTGCTCATACAAACCCTAATGCTTTGATCTAGGTTTCTCTATTGTACATGCTTTGAATCCAAGACTATAAACCCTAATTCTAGCATATGGAAATCGATATTAACATATAATTAGGTTTAAGATGTTACCTTGATTGTTATGTAGCAATAATAATCCCAATTCCTCCTTGAATTGACTTTGGAATGCTTAGAGTCACAAGTGTCACTCCTCTAATGGCTTACAAACACCAAGAGAAAATGGAGAAGGTATAAAGAGAGAGGAGAGAGGTAGGATTCATCCTTAGGACTTCTTGGGAAGGGATACACGAATTCATGAGCCTTAGGGGGTTTATATAGGTGTAAAGATTAGGGTTTTAGTCCTTATCCTTATCTAGTTGCTTGCCCACCAAGTAACCATAAGATAAGTCTTAGAAACCCTTATCCTAATCGAATTCTAAGGCATTATCTCCTTAAATTCGTTCACCCTATATTTAAGATAATCCTTACCTCATTCTGTAACTATCACATAATTACAAATCAGCCCCTCTAGTTTAATTAATTACACTTGATCACAAAATTAATTCCTAATTAATTATTAACCAATCTTAATTAAACAAATATGATTTCTCCTTTAATATATTATTCTTATAACATATTAATAAATCACAATAACCTCTCTCTCTTTATTTATTTCTCCAATCAAGTTGTTTTGGTGAAGGCAACCCAAAAAGACCATGCACCATCGGGTCAAGTACATACCAAAATAGTTATGGACTTAGACACTAATCCAACACAATTAAGGTTTGTGTCAAGTGTTTTCTTGAAGATAATGACCATTTTAACAATGGTGGTTGTTGAAAAGCCGGTGGTTATATTCAATAAAACTTATTGTTATATGTGTCACACCATTAATACTTTAATTAATAGATTTGGGTCAAATCATGTGGTTTATGAGCTAGATGAAAATCATAATGGGAAGCAACTAGAGGATGAGATGAAATCACAAGGATGTAATCCAAGTGTAGCAGTTGTGTTTATGGGGAAAGAACTGTTAGGTGGTTCTAATGAGATCATGTCACTCCATCTCAAGGGGGAACTAGCCAGCTACTGAAAAGGTAAAGGTAATTGCTATATGAAGTAACAATATCTTGTTTACAATGTCATAAACTATTATATGGGGGTGTTTTGGCAGATGTTGGCCTATAAAATCAAAATCTCTCTATTGTTTTCCTAATTGATATATGTATCAACAACATTCAGAAATGTATCCACGTCAATTTCATTTCAGACCTTACATAATCTTTCACTCAGTCGGTACAAACAATGAACAACAGTGATTAGAAAGCATAATAACTAAGACATCCAATTGATCATTGGTAGCAAGAATCATATACATGCAGAATGAAGATGATGAGAGCTTACTATTGTCCATAATTATTCTTTACATCAGAAATATGAACAAATGACATGTCTTTAGTAGATATAATCTTTCAAAAGAGGCCTATTTCTTTCTATGATTGCATTCCTCTTCCAATTCTCTACTGCTTTCTTAACAGTAGAATTGGCTTTTGCAATCTCCTTAGCAGAAAACGTATGCACTATAATTCCTAAAGGTCCAGGTTGGAGTACTTTGACCACAATCTCCATCTCATGCTCAACCTGCCTAGGGGTGGCAATCTTCGACCCAACCCGTAACCCGACACTGACCCAACACGAAAATAAACGGGTTTGGGTTGAGATTTTTGACCCACCAACCTGCCAACCTGTTTATTTCATGGGTTGGGTTGGGTTATCTGTTTGGGTTCGCAGGTCAACCCGCCAACCCGATTATATATATATATATATATATATATATATATATATATATATATATATATATATATATAATCTGCCAATAACAATATAATAACATCACCCTAAATTTTTATAAAAAAAACAAAAACAAAGAAAGAATGGGTCAAGTCAAATATATATATATATATATATATATATATATATATATATATATATATATATATATATATATATATATATAATGTTAAAAAAAGATATTTAATTATTTATCAGTTTTGAATATTTGATTATCATTTAATTGTTTTTCGAATTCCAAAACTACAAAACATCTTCAAGTCGAATTAACGTGCCTAGCCTCTAAGAATACCCTAATCAAATAGAAAGTTAGTCTTTGGTCTCCAAACTCACGACTCCGTGTCTCCCGTCTCCGTCGATTGAGGCATCGAGCCACTGACTGTCGTAGTGTCGCATTCACACCACTCGTCTTCTCGTCCTCCGGCTGTCACACACCACTCATTGTTATCACTCATGTTTATGACTTTATGTTGAATATTTAAGACTTTATAAATTCACTTCATTTGTTATTTTTAATTTCATATTAAAATGTGTTGCTTATTAAATGGGTTATATAGTTTGGGTTCGACCCACTGACCCACGAACCCATATACTTATACGAGTTATATGGGTTGGGTTGGGATGATGTTTTCAACCCACCAACCCATATATTATATGGGTTGGGTTGGGTTAATGTATTCTGACCCACCAACCCACCAAACTGAACCCAACCCAATTGACAGGCCTAAACCTACCTATAATAATAGAGTTCAAAACCACATCACACATCAGCAATCAAATTAATCATACATAATTGTTGTTATATGTTTCATTAAAACAGCATCCGAAGGACCCCTATTTAGCTTTTGCATATTGAAATGAAAACAAACACTAATAAACTACTTTGAAAAACATAAGATGAATGTAATCCCCCAAGCAGTAGGTCGACCGAAAACCTCCAACTTAACGAGTGGAAAGTTATTAATTGTGACATCCCTAATTTCACAGCCAGAAAAAACCGATTTGTTTATGCTTTGTTTTAAAAATCAGAGTAATCTTTCAAAGAAAACGGTTGCGGAATTTGTTCCCAAAACAAAATATCATAAGAATTTATCAAAGCATTTCTTTAAAGAAATGTATTTTCATTAAATAACAAAATCTAGGGATGTCATGTTCCGATACAGACCAAAAGCATAAACAGTATAAAACAGACCTTACATCAATTATTTATAACTACTGATCTATATTCCAAAATCTCTCGTCAAGTCCACCAACTTATACTCTTGTGCCATTACCTGTAATGCAAAGAAAACTGAGTGGGTCAGGCTTGGGAGCCTGGTGAGCATATAGGGTTTTCAACCCACAATAATATAATTATTATATTTAATCATCAAACAATCAACCCAATTAACCATCCCCATTATCTTTGTTTAATCTTCCCTAAAGATATTATCCTAAGGGTCACCTCCTATATCATATTTACCTCTCATATCCATACATCTTATTTCCTTATATGTTTATTCCTAAGAACTTTTCCTAAGGATCATCGCCTACATCGCATAGACAATACTAATTTGGGGATCACTCCCTCAATATGTGTCTAGTAAGGGTTAGGGTATCATCGCATGATTACGCAGCCACAACATCGCTTGGGCTCGTAAATCATAATAAGGGTTAGACTATCATCGCATGAATACGCAGCCACAACATCGCTTGGACCCGTAAGTCATAATAAGGGTTAGAATATCATCGCAGGAATACGCAGCCACAACATCGTCTGGACTCGTAATTCATAATAATGGTTAGACTATCGTCGCATGAATACGCAACCACAACATCGCCTGGACTCGTAATTCATAATAAGGGTTAGACTATCATCGCATGAATACGCAGCCACAACATCGCCTGGACTCGTAATTCATAATAAGGGTTAGACTATCATCGCATGAATACGCAGCCAAAACATCGCCTGGACTCGTAATTCATTACCTATCTATCACCACCTATTTATCATCACCATTATATCCTCACCTATCTCTTATCACATTATTTCATCATCTACCAACTCTTTCATCTACCCATGTTCTACCCCACATATTTATAGATATAAATTACATATACAGTTTAAATCATTAATTTTTTTTATAAAACATTCATTCAACAACCATCTCAAGTAAACAAACAATGTATAAACACATAGCACGTATTTCATAGCAAATACTTCATATCTATGCGGTAGAAGAAAGTAACTACACACTCACACATATAAACAACAATATATATACACATAGAACATATTTTATAAAATACTTCATATCTATGTGTAAGATGAAAGTGGCTATACACTCACTTGATTAGAAGATGATCGGACAACACTACGGCTCTAAGAGTAGTACTTCTTCGGTGAAACTAGAAGATCTTCACACACCGGCCTTCTCGCAGGCAGAGCTTCGGCTCGGAAACTCTTTTCTTCTCGGGATCTTCGGGCTTAAGGACTTGCTTCGTGTCTCGGAATGATACTGGGGCTTCGGGGGGTTAAATTAGGGCTTACAGAGGGTATCGGGAGTAGGAGAGAAGAGATTGAGCAACCAAACTTGGTTACCCCTTGAATTCTATTTAAAATGTTGATTTTATGGATTCACGTTGTGAATCTCAAATATTCACGCCGTGAGTTCAGTCGTCACTATATGCGTCATCGCAGGTTGTGTCTGTCAGGCTCCAAAAGTCATAAATACTGAGTTCACATCGTGCACACTGTATTCACGTCGTGAACTCTGACAGTTTTGGGGTTTCGCATCCTGAACTTCAGAAATTCATAACTTTCTCATACGAACTCCGTTTTCGACATTCTTTATATCCACACATAGGTAAAAACAAGATCTACAACTTTCATTTAGACTTTGTCGGCTAATTCTGACTTTAATTTTAATATATTATTTTTAGTAGGCCACGACAGGAAAACTCCGTTCGAAATTCATAACTCATTCATCTGAACTCCGTTTTCGTCTGTCATTTTATCGTTGGACTAATATTGATGAGATCTTAAATTCTCATTTAGAAATTTTTGGCTAAATATCACTCAACCTCAATCTCGAGTTTCAGGCTGCATACTACTAATGCTGAAACTTCGAAAAATCATAACTTCCTCATACGAAGTCAGATTTAGACGTTCTTTTTATGCACGCTCTTGGTTTAACGTATTCTATGACTTTCATTTAGATCGCTAAGGCCAAATATAGCTCTAATGTAAATTCACTATTTACGTCGCATTGTGTCATGCCGGTTCTATCGCGAAACTTCGACAGGTCATAACTTCTTCGTTATAACTCGGATTTCGGCGTTTTTTATATGTACGAAATCCTTGTAACATATACTACAACTTAGTTATGATTGAACCTACTAAATATTCTTCCATCAAAAAGTCATTTTTTATGCTTATCGTCTCTAAATTGAATAGCTCGGATCTACGGGCGTTATAATTATCTCCGCCTTAGGATGATTACGTCCTGGAATCATCAACGAAATAGGACTTTTATAATGATTCCATACATTATCTCTTCATCCTAGGTAATAACTGTAAGTTTTATGTTTCCTCGAAAGAGTATCTAACTCTTGGACTTCTCGATAGCAGGTAGTGCTCAATCCTGCATCTGCTCTTCGTACTATGTTGTACTTTCAATTTTAACCTTCAAGTTACAAAATAAATCCTTATTGAGGACTCCTTCTTCTTAAGATAAGTACGTTCCTTTATCTATTGTAACAGACCGATGGGTCGTGTTCTATTGACCTCTCATCGTATGATGCAACGCTTAGACTCAAGTCTCATAGAGTCAAATTCCGCAATGGAATATACCTTCCTTCCTATTCTAATGTGATATAATCACATTTTTACATGTAGCATTTCTAGCTACAAGCTTCCTTAACAACGAGCGCGATGTTATCGATCACATTGATTTCAATCTTCTGACTTGAGTCAGATGCTACCTCGAACTTGGTTCTATGAACCACGTAACAAACTCATCGTAATCGGACTCAATTTGATATGACCGCTAGGGTCAGAATATCAATCATCTTCTTAGTCACTACCGAAACAATGGTAACGACATACTTGAATAAAACGAGATCAATCACTAGCTTCTTGGTAACCTTGTGACTTTCCCTGATCCAAGTGAGAGTCCTGTGCTTCCGGTAGTATATGCATCTACTACCTTTCACACCTACTCATACTCGTTCTAAGTATTGTCCCGCAGTCGACCAAGTCACCATACAAGAAAATCACAAAACAATTTAACACATACGAATGTGTCCAAATAATCATAAAAATTTCCCTAGACTCTACTAGGACTTCTTCATTGCGCATCTTCAATCATCAATTCTACTTCAACTCGTCTGATGATGGAAATTCCAGACGATGAGACAACTTCAAGAATTTACACCAATCGTTCCATCATCCTGCCAATCGAAGGTGTACTTCAAAAATACCGTACTCCTCTAAACGTACTATTATAAGACATCATCTAAAGGCAAGATACTATTCTTACAATATCTTCTGATAGGTGTCATTCACTATCATAAGCCTCTTCATTTCCTCCATTTACTTAATTCTCTACGAGTCTTCACCATGACCTTTCGTGCACCCAAGCATACGTTCAGTGTACCAGGCAAGAATTCAAGATAGAAAGCTTTATTTACGATAAACGTATAAATCTCCTTATCACTCTGAAACGTTTACATGCTAGTCATAATACCGTAATCGTACGCTTAGAATCGCATTTAGCACATAAAAGCATTTTAGGCATCTTTTCTAAAATATACTAGTGCTCGTGGTACACACTCATCTCACAATCATTGCTTAGCATTCTAAATTTAAGTCTAGAAATCTTACAAATTCATAGTTTACTTAAACTAATGCTCTGATACCAACTTTGACATCCCCAATTTCACGGCCAGAAAAGACCGATTTGTTTATACTTTGTTTTAAAATCAGAGTAATCTTTCAAAGAAAACGGTTGCGGAATTTGTTCTCAAAACAAAATATGATAAGAATTTATCAAAAAATTTCTTTAAAGAAATGTATTTTCATTAAATAACAAAATCTTGGGATGTCATGTCCCGATACGGACCAAAAGCATAAACAGTATAAAATAGACCTTACAACAGTTATTTATAACTATTGATCTATAATCCAAAATCTCTCGTCAAGTCCACCAACTTATACTCTTGTGCCATTACCTGTAATGCAAAGAAAACTGAGTGGGTCAGGCTTGAGAGTTTGGTGAGCATATAGGGTTTTCAACCCACAATAATATAATTATTATATTTAATCATCAAACAATCAACCCAATTACTCATCCCCATTATCTTCGTTTAATCTTCCCTAAAGATATTATCCTAAGGGTCATCTCCTATATCATATTTACCTCTCATATCCTTACATCTTATTTCCTTATATGTTTGTTCTTAAGAACTTTTCCTA